TACTTGCCACCCAGTCCTATCTTTGTTGTTTTCCAAAGATAGTCCTAAAAATCATGTTCAGCAAAAAGTGTCAGAATTTATCCTGACTATATCCTTCAGAGTAAAAGTTCAGAATCTTAATATTATTTAGACACCCAGATATGAATGAACCAATTATACTGACAGATTTGAAACAATACTCCAAGTACTAGTCATATGTGACTATTATATAACATATACATGAAATATATATATATACACACATGTACAGACATATAAAAATATATATTAAAAGAAAACAAAGTCTGTGTTCAAAAGCTCTTCCAAGTATTAATAGACACTCTCTAACCTGTGAAGATCTCAGTTCTGGCTGTAGTCTTGGATCTGGTATCCAGAGGGGCAAACCAGAGAGGCCGCCCCCAGTGCAGTTTGCAAGATGTGTTCTGAGGGTGCCAGGCGTTGCTGCAGCTGTGAGTCAGAAACCTCAGTGGGAAGGAGATGGTGCTAGTGGGCTGCTTAAGAGGCCTCCATCAGGGAGCATGAGTTGGCAGCTCAACAGAGGGGATGCTGGTTTGAGAGTCTGAAGAGTCCCCGAGGGAGCAAGGGAAAGGCTTAGAATACAGGTCAAGAGATCAAAGTACAGCAGGACATTTCTCTCCACCTCCCTCGAGCACCATGGCAAACCAGAATGATACTGTGGGCATGAACTGAGACTCCCACTGCTACTGTCCAAGTCCTCCAGAGAGTCGAGGTGGGAAAGAGTTCCAAGAACACTCAAACAAAACTTAAAACCCCAAGAGTCATACCAAGTAGCACCATAACATTCTGAAGCTGAAACTGCCTTTCCTGATCCAGCCCTCATCCAGCCTTCTTTTAGCACAGATGAGAAAATGCAAGCCCAGGGAGGTCAAAAAGTTTAGCAAAATTAGACAACAGAATTGGGATGAGAGCCCCAGAGACTTGAGCCTGGACCCTGGACTTCTCCTTTCTTCCAACCTTTCTGTAGACAGTGGCCTTGAAAATCTACGATCGGGGGACTTCCCAGCTCAAGAGATCATGACCAAGATGCTGGGTCATGGAGTTGTCACCAAGTTGAGGAATTGTCCTTTGAAGGAGGTCCTTCTTGGCAATGCCCTTTCAGAATTTCAGTGGACGTCCAGCATGAATCACGAATGCGCGCCCACAATGTGGCAGCTTCAGACCGAGTGTATGAAGACACAAATGGGTCAATGAGGAGAAAATGAATAGCATGCTGACACTTCTGCTTCCTTGAATGAAGTATTAGGCCTGAATTATTACAGCAGGAAATGCTAAACTGCGGTGGAAAGAAAAGGTGTGATTACTCATGTCAGTGTTAAAATTGCCATTTTTCACAAAGGGATTAATCACCAGCCACAAAACCTGCTGAACTTGATATAAAGTACTTTCCTCTTCCCCATGAATTTTCCCTCTTGGCAGTAGGATTATAATATGATTGTGTGGTCCCTTCCAGAAATTAAAAACAGAAATTAAGGAAACTCTCGAGGATGCCCTCAGTCTGTTCTGGGTTGAGGAGGTTTCCTCGTCAAGACCGAGATCAGAGCATGGCAAGAGAGGTGCTTAGCCTACAAAATTTAAGACTGAACTCCCTCTCTGGATCATGCGGATTCAAGGTCAGCACCAAGAACGAGTGCTTCCTCAGTTATCTGGGAGCCTCCCTTGCCTCGCTCTGGTCTTGTCCCCAATCTTCACTTGCTTTGTGACTTCCAAGGGTCCTAGATGTGGGTGGGAAGAGCAGGATGGGTCAGAGTCAAGACAGGGAACATTTCAGACAGAGAAACATGGATAGGGTGATACTGGGGAACCTAAAACTCGAACAGCCAAGGTCCTCCTGCTTAGCAGTTGGCATACAAGGGTGAAGGGACTTCTGATCTGCAACCAGAAGATGGGGCCCGGAAGGAATGATATACCAGGCAATGGGTCTCTTAAGCTGATGTTCTGAGTCTGAGATCTGGGTGAACAGTGATGAAGTAAGGGGAAGAACAGGTCTGGGTAGGAAGACACAGTGCTAGGAAGGCTGATCCAGCCACAAATAGAAAAATCTAAATCCCTGAAGCAGGAGCCCAGGCACTAGGAACTGACAGTCAGAGAAGCTTCAGCCTCCAGACTGACTCCTGATTAAGCCAGATGGATGAGGGGCAGACATGGGCTTCCCTGGCAGCTCAGTCGATAGAGTCTGCCCACAATGCAGGAGACCCAGGTTTAGTCCCTGGGTCGGCGATCCCCTGGAGAAGGAAATGGAAACCCACTCCAGTATTCTTGCCTGGAGAATTCCATCGACAGAGGAGTCTGCTGGGCTACAGTCCATGGGAGTAACAGAGTTGGACATGACTGAGTGATTAATGCTGCCGACATAGGTGGGTGGAGAAGGTGGTGAGCTATAGGTGAGCACCCCCTATTTCTCCTCCACAATGGTTCCCTCGGGTGTTTTGAAACAAAGTGTCTGCCTCAAAAACTGAAATCTTTGCTGACTGTTAGAAAGTACCATGTGTCAAGGAGTCTCTGTTGGGGTAGCTTTATTGTAGAATCAATAATTGAATTTTTGGTAGGAGGACACTAGAACAGCGTTCTAGTCTGAAGAATTTTAACCTGGTATTCATGAATGGACTTCAGATGTCTATGAATCTCCTCAACTAACATGCAAAATTGTGTGTTTGTTTATTTATTTATTTATTTTTTAATTTATTTTTTTGTGTGTCTGTTTATTTTTATGGAGAGAACTCATCTCACTGTGAAATTGGAGGCATGGGGAACTCTAACCCTGAAACTATCCAGACTTCTTATTTAGGATGAGAACTTGATACACAGAGAAATTTGAGCTCCTTATCTAAGTCTTTGTCTTGCATCCATGTACATCCAACACATATTAGTCACTCAAGGAACATTCGCAGAGGGACTTTCCTGGTGGTCCAGTGGTTAAGACTCCATGCACCCACTGCAGGAGGCACGGGTTTGATCCCTGGTTGAGGAATTAAGATCACACACGCCATGCAGGATAGCAAAAAAAGAGAACATTTGTAGAGTGAATGGGCAAATAGATGGATGGTTGAATAAATGAATGAATGGGAGTTCTTTGCTCTTGGTACACTTACACTTTCACCTCATCCTCATCACTCACCATTGGTCTCTCCAACTCCAAAGGAGCACTGAATGTCAAGCAGGTGACCTCAGGAATGAAGGACAGATGTCTCCAAGAGAGCTCTGGCCGCTACCTTCCGCCCTAGGGGACTATCGCCTGTCCTCCCCTCCTCCAAGTACTCCCACTGGCTCTTTTCAGCAGAAGAGGATCTGGGTGCCCCAGGTCAGTGAGACAGGCACTAACCTGGTCTCTGTTCAGTGAGAGGCTCCGACTCTGGGAATACTCTGTCTTGTTTGTTTTTCAAGAGAAAAAAAGGGAGGTTAAATTCTCATGTTAGAAGGGAGCATCTGTCTTCTGAAAGTGAAAAAGTGAACGTGTGAGCCACTCAGTTGTGCTCGACTCTGTGGCCCCTGTAGCCCCATGGACAGGCTCCTCTGTCCATGGAATTCTCCAGGCAGGAATACTGGAGTGGGTAGCCCGTCCCTTCTCCAGGGGATGTTCCCGACCCAGGGATCCAACCCCGGTCTCCTGCATTGTAGGCAGACTCTTTACCATCTGAATCACCAGGGAAGCCCATCTATCTTCTAACACCTGGAAAATGGCCGTTTATTGTCAAGCCATGATAAACATTTTTGATCAGGCATCTGTCTGCCCCTCCCACAGCTCCAGTTTCTACCAGCTAGGGGCAGTGAGAAGGGCCACGGTGACCAGCCGTGAGGAAAGGTGCTTTCATATTATCATTGGCTATTAACCGATGCTGCCTTCCTCCTTCTCTCCCCGCTTCCTTCCCTCCTTCCCTTCTTCTTTCCTTCCTCCTCCCCTTTCTCTCTCCCTTCCCTCGCACCTTTCTTTCCTTATTATGGCCATCAGATTAAGGCTGATAGTACAAGGTTGAATAAGACATGGTCCTGCCCTTACAAAAAGCCTACGATCTGGCTGCGGGCAAGGCATAGAGGTTCACACAGGAAGGAGTTGTCCATACTACTCAGAAGGTCAAGGAAGGCCTAGGTGAAGGAATAAGGACTGAGACGAAATTGAAAAGATTGTTGCTAGGCAAACATGAAAAACTGGCCTGTGTCCTAGTGCGGAGCCCAGAACATAAGACTCTTGGTTGACTCCTGTTGAATAAAGAATCTGTCATTTTCCCTCCTGTGATCATTGCAGTGGCTACTACTGATGGAAGGGCTTCCTGGGGCCAGACCGTGTGCTGGTACGTGCTCTGTGTCACTGCCTGGACCTCTCACTGTTTTGTAGATGAAGGCACCGAAGTTCAAGGAGGTCATATAGTTTAGAACCTGGACCCAATCACACATGACTCACCTAGAGCCTGAACCCCAAACCCTTGCCTTTGGGTCCTCAGTGAATTGGGCCAGACACCTACTAAGGTCTCCAAGGCATGTAAATGGATCTGAGTCCCCATGTGAAGGATCCAACTGACGGTAGATAAAGCTCATACTTGGGGCCCATGAGGCTAATACTGAGATTCCAATGCCTGGGGTGGGTTCTGAAGTCGACAGTCAGGACTGGAAGAGTATAAAATCTCTTTCTGACAATGAGATTCATTTTCATGTCTGTGGAAAATTTAACAGAGATATTTTCTTCCATCATAAGAGGGGATAACTGTTGTCAAAATGCACATTTTTAATGTGCGTTTAAAGTACTTTGGAGTACTTTACATGGGTTGCCAAGCCTCTAAGAATTAAAAGGACACTCGTGCCTGGGGGACAGTTCTAGAGACTGGGTAAGTGCATAATTAAAAAAAAAAAGAGAGAGAAAAACACAGAGAGCAACTGAAATTAAACCCAGAAGAATATCTTTTCATTCAGTTTCGAATACCTAGAAAATGACTTGGCAGCTACAGAATAAAGAGAAAGAGCAGAAACCAAAGTCAATGCCAACTTACTTAAGTCTGGATTCTTTTTCCCAAGGGAATACTTCTGAGGATCTAGAGATGGTCATGTCTGAGGCCCCCTTCTGCAGATGGGATGGTGAGGCTCAATGAAGTCATCTCAAGGTCAAAGCAAGGTCAGGCCGAGTAAGCCATGAGTGGGAAAGGAAAGAAGAGAAAATATATCTGTATCCTACAGCTACAGCCCTTGTGGGCCCCTAAATTGTGGCTAGAAATTTGCTGGCAGTAAGGAAGATGGGAGGTGGGGAGCAGCTCCCTGGCAATGTGACTCGTTGCTTTGTGCAAAGGAAAATGAATCTATCAAGGAGAAGATCACGTGTTGAGGTATACTAGGTCATTTATTGCTGTCGTTCATCTCCAGGACTTGATCTGGTCAACTGGGGCCACTTCTCCTGTACTTGGGACCCCCAGCCCTCAGACAGATGGCTGTCCCTTGCGATCCTTTTAAGATTGAGTGGTACCAAGACAATCATTAAATATCCTGGACTGAAGAGGAATCAGAACAATGTGAACGTGCTGAAAGAATGAATGGGCCATTGAATAGGGAAACAGGATTAATACGGTCAGCATTACAATATACAATTCAAAGGGCAGAATTGTCTGGTACCTTCAGCCCTATCAGGGGAGAGGGATATGGCATCTGGGGGATGCTAGTAGAGGTACTCACCAGAGATAGAGGACTGGAGTGTAGATTTATTTTATAGGGTTTTCTGTGATCTAGTTCTCCAAGTTCAATCTGATTCTATGGTCCCCAGATAACCTTCTTATAAATACTCCAGTTTCCAGACACCTTGATTCTAGGAATAGAATATGAGTCTGTATTAATACACTGGGCTTCCCTGGTAGCTCAGCTGGTAAAGAATCCACCTGCAATGTAGGAAATTCTGGTTCGATTCCTGGGTCGGGAAGATCCACTGGAGAAGGGATAGGATACCCACTCTAGGTATCTAGAACAAACCACTCATTTGTTCTCAGCTTCTACCCTCTCACATACAGTCATCAGTTATAACTCTGGTTATAAATAAATTGCTGGTGTACTTTTTTGTCCATGCAGGTGGTGTGAGTTATTGAGGGGGTGCCTTCCAGAGTCTGTGGACCTCATCAGTGAAGGCGGGTCCCAAAGTCCTTTAATTCTCTCAGGTAGTAATCCCCATCTTAGACACGTCTTGGCGTCCAGCCTTTCTTCACCAGACGATGGTCTTCCTCTGTCTCTCCCAATGATTTTCCAAGTCCGACATTCTCCTTAAAGCTACCGCTGTTGGCTGGTCTCTCTCCTGAGTTGATGCCCGGGGCCATGCAGATGGTGCAGAAACAGGGCTAGTCCTGACTTTGTGTCTCATTTTCGTGTGGCTGTAAGACTCTTGACCTCTTATGGGCCTGTTTCCCTTCGTTCCCCTGCACCAGGGGATGCTACATCTGAACCCTCCCAGAGCCCAAATGACAGCAGGGGGCTCAGATGGTAAAGCGTCTGCCTAGAGTGCAGGAGACCTGAGTTTGATGCCTGGGTCGGGAAGATCCCCTGGAGAAGGGCCTGTCATCCCTCTCCAGTATTCTTGCCTGGAGACTTCCATGGACAAGAAAGCCTGGTGGGCTACCATGCAGAGGGGTTGCAAAGAGTCAGACACAACTGAACAACTAACACTCTCATAGGAAAAGGATGTTTAAAAGCATCAGACGTTTTACATATGTGATCGTGGCACTAGTGATAAAGAACCCACCTGTCAATGCGGGAGATGTGAGACACGTGAGTTCAGTTCCTGGTTTGGGAAGATCCCCTGGAGGAGGGCATGGCAACCCACTCTAGTATTTTTGCCTGGAGAATCCCATGGACAGATGAGCCTGGAGGGCTACCGTCTACAGGGTTACAAAGAGTTGAACATCACTGAATCTGAAACAACTTAGCACACAACACACACATACTACTGTATTTGTTTCGGCTCACTTTCTAGACATGCTCCATATACAGTCATCAAAATCATGATTCTCTTCTCCTATCATTTGCCTTTAAATGGGCGGAACTCCAGGACAGATGGCCAGATGGCAAGAGATCTGAGGGTGACCTTATTTTGACCATCCTGGTGTTTTATTACGAAAAAATTCAATTCACTTCTGTCAACAGATCTTTTCCCTTAAATATAAGTCCATTTCCTCCTAAAAAAATATGGGAAATGACCAGGAAGGATTTAATTCACAAAGCATCTTCATTTATTTAAAGACAATCCTAATGACACCTTCATCTGTAAACAAACTAACAAACAAAAATTCCAATTATCTTGACTCCTGTATTTCCTAAATTTTATTTTATGTTCCATGTATCCTTGTTTTTATTCATTAGCTACAAGTCTGAGCATCTGGAGCAGTTTCCTTTAGTATCAATCAACGTAGTCTGAGAATCTCTGTTTTCTTATGTCTCTTCTATTAACAAACCACTGAATAACTATTCTGGACTAAAGTTATGTATATTCAATCACTTAGAAATTCTCTTTAAATGTTATCTGTAGTGTAATTGTCTTCATTGTCATAGTAATAGGGTAATTATAATATAACTAACTAAATAAATTCCTAATATGGCTAAGATTCTAGGGGAGGAAACAAGAAACTCATCTTTCCCACCGACATTTTTTTTTTTTTAAGAAAATTCTAGCAATTAATTTGCACACTGGATGCTGTGTGGTCCCAGCTTATACAAATCTTCCAGTTTATGTACCTACAGTGAAGTAATGTTCACACAGGGGCTGGAGCTGCTAAGGAAAAAAATGTGCTTATATAATAAAAATTGGCAGGAAAGCAAAATAATTCCCCACTCACAAAACATTTTTCTCAGTCCACTCTCTCTGTGCCATTCTCAAAAAAATCCGGAAGTCAAACCAGGCTTCGTTATTTTTAGTCCATCCAAAATTTTACTCACTTGAGGCGTGTGAACATGGATCTATCTTTAGAACCATTAACCAAAATGCCTTGGAATCACAGATTATTAGTGTCTGGGCAATTCTCAAGATGATTTTTTTTTTAGCCTAGGAACCTCACTGTATAAAATTGAAGTGGAGTAGGGGACTTGAAGTCTCATTTTTTGGGCTCCCCCCTTAGCAACTTCTTGCGGGCTACCATGTAATTTTAGGGCTCAAGAACTGCTGGAAAACCACTGATCTGAGCCAAAGCCAGCATTTTGCAGATGAAACAGCAGAGGCCCGTAGGTGTGAAGCGACTTACTTGGAAGCCACCTCCCCTCGCCCGCCAGTTGCTGATGAAGCTCAGGGCTTTTGACTTCTGGTTATGCATCTTCCCATCACCCAGTACAGAAGATACTGTTATAACAGAAATTGCTTTTTTCCTTAGTATTAGCCAGAAAAGTTCAGCTGAGAAACAGATGACTAGTTGGGGGAGTTTGCCTACTGGAGGCACGAGGAGGTCCAATGACTTAATCGAAAATACACGTTAGCTTTTTTTTTTTTTGAGAGGAGCGTGAAAAGTGCAAGGGGAAGCCAGCATAGACTTACTTCCTATATGGTCTGCTGCGGTGTGCTTTACTGAAGGATTCTTGCTCAGCTGAATTCTTGCCCTGTGTGACCTAGAGCAAGTCACTTAAGTTCTCTGGGCCTTGGTAGCTCTTGTCTCTTCCAAGGACACAGCAGTGGCGCCGTGCAGGCCTTTGGACACATGGTGATCCATTGTCTTTCCCACATCAGCCCCATCCTACCTTCCTTCCTTGTCTCAGCATTTCATATAAAACTAGGCCATCCTTATTCTTACATTATGTGTTTTTTCTCTGTACGTATTTTGAGGATTGAATAATTGTCTCCCACTGGGCATTAATTTCTTGGGGCACAATTATGTCTTTTTAATTCTTTAACATGTGTTTTGCATTTATTCCTCTATAAGTTCTGTCTCATACTGCAGGGACCCAGACCCCAGCAAAAATACTCCCTCTGGCATTTCCAGAATCCCTGGCTGGCCCCATGTGTTCTTCTGTGCAGTCTGCTCAGCTCCTCTTTCCTCCCTTCTCTGCTCCAGGCCTCTCTGCCTGGCACTGTGTCCATTTGGCACCATCGCATCTGCCTGGCACCACTGGCATCTCTACTGGACCCTACTGGACCCTCTTCTCACTGCTGCTAGCTGCAGAAGATTCTATGATAGCTCCCTGTATTTTCTCTCTTTCTCTGATGTATGTGTGAGTGAGTGAGAGTGTGCGAGCCTGTACTTACAATTTCCCCCTATTTATTTATTCCCCAGGCTACTGGATGTCTAGATTGGATTGTGTCTACATCACAGAAGGAGTAAATATCATGCAAAGGTGGAGGGGCTGTCCAATGAGACTGGGAGATGCAATGTCTTTTGTTCTAATGAGGTGGATCTTGTGGGGCTCCTGGAACAGGACTGATCACTAGAAAGACCAAACCATGATTAGAAGAAGCTTGGAATGTTCAACCCCCACCCCACCCCCATCCCCATCCTCCAGAGATGGGAAAGAGGCTAGAAAATAAGTTAATAATCTATCATGCTTACATGATGAAGCCTCCAGAAAAACCTCAAAGGATGGAATTTAGAGAGTTTCTGAGCAGAGAACAGATCTATGTTTTGGGAGGGTGGTACACCCCAACTCCACGAGAACAGAGGCTCCTGCGCTCCAGACCCTTCCAAATCTTGCCCTGAGTTTGTCTTCATCTGACTGTTCATCTGCATCCGTTATCGTGTCACTTATTATATGAGAAACCAATGAACATCAGCAAGGGCTTCCCTGAGTTCTGTGAGCTGTTCTAGCCAATGGTGGAACTCTAGAGGGAGTCATGAGAACCTCACATGTGTAGCCAGCTTGGGCAGAAGTTGTGAGTAACCTACTTGCTATTGATGTCTGAAGTGAGGGGCAGTCTTAGGGGACTTTCACTTGTGGAATCAGCACTAACTCCGGGTAGTTAGTGTCAGAATTGTTTGGTGTAGAAAACTTGAACCTCTGGTCACAGGGAATTTTTCTGTTTATGTAAAGGAACGTGGGGTGTTTCTTCCAGCAAGTTGGATGTTAGCAGTGTCTGCTCTTACATAATATAAGGGGCTATCATGGAGACACTTCTGGCCAACTGCATTTTCTTTCTCTTTCCCACGGAAGACTGGGTGGTGGACAGACACCATGGTCTCCTCCTACCACGGCATGGCAACAGCCTTGTAACAGTCTGACTCTCCTTGGAGCCTTTAGTAATTGCGTCACCAGATTGGCTCAGGCATCACAGGTGATCAAACTTGGTCTTTCTGTCCCCCAGACAAACACCTCACTTCTACCGCCCCCTCCCTCAGCTAGGACCAGCGAGCACATGAATTCCACTTGTACGGAAAAGCAACGCTGCCGTTGGAGTGCAGTTGGTTCATGGCACAGCCCTGAGGCCGATTATGGTGAATCCCGCATGTCATTTGTAATCCTGCTACTTCATAGTCACGAGCTGCCGGGCACAGACAACTAGCTTCCTTGTGATCTAGAGAATCTGTGTTCTTTCGCACGAGATTCCAGCCTCTTTCTTTATGTGCCCTTGTGAGAAATTGAAATGTTCTCCAAGTCTGGAGACAGATTTCCGCGTGAACTGCATCTGAACTTTTAAAAATCTTTTTTTTTTCCTCTCTTTTTTTGCCCTTGGTTTAAATCTCTGTGGAGCTGATCATAATTTTCAAGAACACAAACTAAAGGTTTTGTTGCCTGTTGAGCAAAGTCGCTGCTTCCTATTGCAAAAGAACTGATTCCTATTCTCACTGCGTTGGTGTTTTCATTAAAATTTCCATTATCCTTTTCCTTCCAATGCAGTTACAGATGAAGTTGGCCTGACTGTGTTTCTCAAGCAAAATCACTCCTGACTCAAAATATACAAAAGGGATAGAAGAGAAGAGCCACACTTCCCCCAAATATAGATCATTTTGATAAAGGGGGAGAAAAAATGTAGTGTTATTAGCTCCATCAGCCATGCCAGGTCCAGAAAAACAAATCTGGATTGAGATGCAGTCATAGTGGTAAGGTAGAAGGGATGATAACCAAAGATGCTCAGTGGGCTCCCCTGGTGGTACAGTGGTTAAGAGTCTGCCTGCCAATGCAGGTTCGATCCCTGGTCAGGGAAGATCCCACATGCCGCAGAGCAGCTAAGCCTGTGTGCCACAACTCCTGAGCCCGTGCACCTAGAACCCTGCAACAAGGGAGGCCGCTGCAATGAGAAGCCGGAGCACAGCTCCAAGGAGCAGCCCCACTCGCCACAGCTAGAGAAGGCCTGCAGGCAGCAACGAAGACCCAGCACAACCCCCCAAATTAATTAATTACTAATGTAGTTACTGAAGGTACTAAATTATCAAAGTTAATTAGCAAACACAATTTTTAAAAAAAAGATGCTCTAGAACCAACGGCGACCTGTTTGTTGAGGGATTTCTCTGAGCCAGACCCTGGCCCCGGCCATGATCTGTGCAGCCCAGTCACTCCGTATACCACGGGCTGGCCTCTAACTGGCCTCCTCAGGGCCCTGGAGGGGTAGGCCTGTCACAGCACAGATGCCAGTCCTGGCTCTGCTTAGGGCCCATGACCTTGACCCAAGGCTCTACACTCGCTGAGCCTCAGTTTTGTTATCTGGAAATCAACGCTAATCCAACACTAATGACACTTTCCCTATCCTCCCACTAGTCTATATGGTATTGGTCAAGTCGAATGTGTTGGAAAGTGCGTTGTCAACCGGAAAATGCTACTCCAGCAGAAGAAAGATGGATTGCCAAAGGTCATAGACAAAAACTGGCGTGTGAA